ATTGGCGACTTTATCGCTTGCGCCGGCAAAACGGAAAAGTACCGAAGCCTCATACCATCACAGAAGAACTTATTCTACCGGCTACAGTAGATATAGTGAATATCATGGTTGGTGAGTCTGCTGGAAAGCTGCTTTTAAAAGTGCCTTTACCCATTAACACAATTAATCGTAGAATACAATATATGGTGGAGGATATCAAAGATCAATAATTTGAGAAATTTAAAGGAGTGGAATTTGGATTGCAGCTATATGAAGTTACGGATAATAAGGTGCTCATTTGATACGGTTTTATAGCTGGTAATAATATTAAAGAAGACATTCTGTTTTGTAAAAATATCATTGCAGGAGCGAAAGCTCAGGACCTCTTCGAGATTCTTGATGCGTACTGTCTTGTAATTAGTGCGTTTGTGTTTGTACTGATGGAGATCGCTCCATGTCTGGCTGTTAGGAAGGATTACAGGGACTTATTTAAAGCAAATCATCAAATGCACTGTGAGCCCATTGCATTATTTGCATTATTCACAGGGAAACGCTTGCGTCGAAACATCTGAGTCCTGCATTGAATCAGGTGTTAGAACGTGTAGTGAATGTGGCAAATTTTATAATATCTGGTCCAATTTTCTAAACAGTTGTGTGAGGATACGAGAGCCGAACACTCGTTTTTGCTGCAAATGCTACTGCACGAGTTTAATTTTTATAGCTCGTAAATTTTTGCACGAGTCTTTCTCCTGGCAATATTTTATCATGTACCGAAACATAAGAACAATATAATTCAATTACTTTTAAATAAAAAAAATGCAGTTTATCAATGCACAATTTTATATAAGAATAAAAATACAGAGCTCACCAAGCCGGGTAAGAGGGTGAACAATATATATATATATATATATATATATATATATGTAATAATAAAATTCCATAGTCAAAATTACACTTAAAATTCTAACTGTATGTTCTTTTCATTTTTAATGGCGACGTTCTCATATTTTGAAAGTACGTGGAATTAAATCTACAGCCCCGTGGTCAAGTTGTTTTTCCAGCTTTTTCTACACGTACAGTTATAGAATGTTCTGGAAATATTTAAAGCGAACTGGAATGGCTGACGAGGCTGACGTCATTCCAGAGGCTATAAAAGCTCCGCCTTTCCAGAGGCTATAAAAGGACTCGCAAAAAAATATCGGGAGCTTTTTCTTAAATGTCACAATGCAGTAAACTTCACACAAAAAGTTATTAGTAATTCTTTTTATTTACTCTGGATGTCTGATTTTGCAACTGCTATTTCTCCTGAATAATAATAAAGGGATCCTGTTTTTTTTTAAAAAAAAACTTATCGTCTGATAATTTAAGTTACGACTAAAGTTGGTACATCACATATATATGTATATACGTTTGGTGCTGCCGATTGCAACCGAAAAGGGAGGTACACATATACAATATACAATATTTTTTTCAGCGTTTTAAGGTGAATCGTTTTTGAGTTATGCGAGATACATACGTACGTACGAACGGTCGCGAAACAAATCCCTTCTGAATTTCTGAATCCCTTCTGAATTTCTGAATCCGTTTTAAATTCTTTTTACAATCCGTTTTGGAGAAAAGAATCCTTTATTCGGTCCGTACGTACAGATGTCACAAAAAAAAAAAAAAAAAAAAAAATGTTCAGATGGATTCGAGATCAAAATGGATATTTTCATTAAAATATGATACCCGAAATTTTTCGCGATTACAATACTTCTTAATGAAATAAAAATGTGACATATGTGGTATATTATAAAAATATGACATTAACGTGACATATTATATACCAATTAAAATGCTAATGAAATTCGTGTTATTTTTATCCTTCTGAAAATCGTGCTTTTCAAATAAGCATCAAGTTTTAATTAACTTCTTTCGATGGCAAAAAATGATTATTGACAGAACTCTTTTTTTTTTTTTTTTTTTTTTCTTAATTTTCATATCATGAAATAAATTTTGCATCTCAAATGTTGCGCAATAAATCATTTCATACAAACTTATACTTTAAATCGTACTTTTACATAAACATAAAACTGAGAATATTATACAGCACATTTTAAATTGAGTACTAAATGATACACGTTAAATTTAGAATAAACCATGAATTAATTAGAGGAAGTTCAAGTTCAGAGAACTCTGTTTTTAGCGTATGTGTCGCCATCTGTTGTATTTAGAGGAAACTAGATTTGGAAAGGGATGTTTAATAATAATAATTTTTAAGATAATGCACTTTAACATATATATATTGATTGTTTAATGGTATTTTCAGCTTATTTTATATATATTATTATATAATATTATTCGTAATTTAAGTTATAATGTTTTAATAATATAATACTTGAAAGAGAAACATGCCAGAATTAAACTTAAAATTAGGGAAAAAAGCAAAGCAGATTGGCGTAGATTTTGAATTCAGTTCAGTCGATTACGAAACAGATCCTCTACTTCAGAAGCAAACAAATTTTTAGAAATGTGGAAATCTAAATCATTGTCTGACAAGTATCATTTTCTTATGAAATGAAAACAATACTTTTCTGATGTTAATCGTGATCTAAAGCTCAATGTTTTCCTTCAAAAACTTTCAACGAAATACTGGTCCTTTTCTGAAATGGTCGTCTTTAAGAGATGAACATCGCAAAAAAGTTCTTTAATGTATGTAAGAGATGATCACCACAAAAAGTTTCATTTAAAAAAAATTACTGATATGAATTATTTAATTGTAATTATTAAATTTAAATTAAATAATTTATAACAATAAATTTTTATTAAATTTATTTAATTGTTTTTGATCCTTAGAAAATTAATCTGCTTGTAATATACTGAACTCGTCTATTATAACAGAACCTTTAGCCAACTAGTCCATAAAATTTATTACATAGCTTTTACATTCTCAACCGTTGGTTGTGGACATATACTTTTTGTATACTTAAAAAAAAAAAAAAAAAAAAAAAAAAAAATTATCTTTGTAAAATTTAAGAAATCTAAACTTTTACACGGCACAAATAGTTAAATTTATAAAACAATTTTCTGAAATATTAGAAAGCTATTTGTTCTAAAAAATTAGAAAGCTATTATAAAATCTATTTTAGCTTTTTAAAAAAAATTGACTTCCGTAAAAAATAAAAAGAATAAAAGACCCGGATGCTCAAGTTTAAAATCTGAGATCATTTTTCCTGAAAATTCTAGTGTGATACACAAACAGAAGAGAAAAATATTTAAATTTGTATACAACTACAATTGAAATATCAGGTTTAGAAAGAGGTTCTGATGATGATAGATTAAATAACGAGCATTGATATGCACACAAACTATCGTGGAAGTTTTGTTCGATATAAATGCTTTCAATGAGAGAATCTTAAAAGAGTTCATGATCTACAAAGGGACGGCAGTTTCAAGCATCTATACATAGTTAACTCATGACATTATTTACATAAATTAAAACTGAAAGGTATTTAATTATTTTTGTAGGTCTGTTAGATAATAGCTCTGATTTAATAAAACTGAAACTGAATATTACAGTGCAATTTTAGCATTTGAGAATTTATAAATTACTTGTGTGAAAATGCTTTCTTCATATCATATGTAATAAAATTATTAAAAAAAGTAAATCCTGAAAGCTTTCAGATTTTACATTACACCCGAAAAGACCTTTTATTTATTTATTTATTTACAGACACATACACGTTTCGGAAACGTTCGGGCTAACGCCAAATAGAGTTAAAATATTTAAAACAGCATATCTTTGGAATTTCCATTAGGTAGTCCCGCGTGCTGGAGGTAAAAATGTTTTATTCCCTACAGTGTTACCACTGCTCGTTTTGAAATTGTTGAGCTTTTAATCAAAAATTCATTAAAGTTTTACAAAATATGAAATAGACAGTAAAAGAAATTCCAAATTCGGGCTTCCAGGTGCTCTTGTTTGGGTGGAGGACTATGTTATTCAAAATCTGACGACTCTAACCGTTGTTTTATCAAAGAGTGAGAAACATACATGTAGATTCTTCATTATTTAGTTTCTTTAACTACAGGGTGATAATATTTGGTGGTAACAATTTGAAAAGTGATCCGGACATATAAATTGATTCGACACAAAATGCCGTTTTGTCACTAATAGCCCTTCTAGGATGGCTAATATTCGGGCTAATAAAAAGTTACATAACAGTAAATCGCAAAGGAACATCACTAAATGATATAAAAGAGAAAAAATCATCTTCCGGCTATCCTAAATTATTTTACAACCGACCGATATTGCTTTTCTTAAGCAATAAATATTATTAATAAAAGCAATAAATATTGCTTTCTGTCACTGAAAAATCTAAAATAACCCCTAAATTGGAAATTAAATATCTTTGTCAATTTTTGTTGTACGGGAATCAAATTTCTTGCGACTTGTTTCATGCTTTTGTGTATAACATTTTACTAAATATGATTTACATAGACCGTAAGACCTTATAAAAAGAAAAATTTCATAAATCTTTTCAAAATTCATTTTAAAAAATTATACCATAACATGAAAATCTGCATCATCTAAACAAAGCTGTAACTAGGGTTCTCTTCTGATTGCTAGTCGGACGTGCTACCATTTATACACAACGAAAGTACCCACGAAAAAGTCAAAATTCCCCATTTCCTTCCCCACATAAAAGGTGACTGGGGAGAGAAGAATGAGACTGGATTTGGTTGAATGAGCTCTATTTAGTTAACCGTCATTGTAGAGCTATCCGGTTTATCGGAATAGGTAACACGAAGAACTCGCTATGTCCTCACCGGGATTTAAACCACGGATCGTTCGACTGCTAGTCAGACATGCTAACAATTACACGACAATGACCTGCTAAAGGAAAGTTTTTAATTCCTTACAACTGTGTCAGATATTCATTACTTAGCGTAATTGTATTAGTTTGTTTGCAATAATGTTAATTTTTTTTTTTTTTTTTTTTCCAATCTGTAACTGTTCTTGACCTTTTTCACTATTCCGACAGATTTGGAAAAGATATCAACACAGTCGACACCAGTATTCCCGCCAAATTCAACAGCTCCATAACTGTGATTCTCGCAATCATTGGTTCACTGGTTGTGATTTCCGCTAATTTTCCTCTCTTTCTTCTTAGCATGGTACCTTTGACTATCGTATATATTTTCATTCAGGTAAGTTTGTAATTTTAATCATGTTGTTAATATAAAACCTTAAGACATAATATTTTAAATAATAGGTAATTATAATATTATTTAATTATTTTTTTTCCAATTTACTGACCGTCAGATATTCACTATTATGCAACAAAGCATGACAGACATATAAAAAAAAAAAAAAAAAAAAAAAAAACCCACCATTTATTAAAAACTGCATTTAATTAACCAAAATAATAAAACCACAAGAATTGCTCCTGTCAAGGAAAGGGGGGGAAAAAGTCAGACAAATAGAATTTCTCAGATTTTCATGGAACACGCAATACTGTATTGAAACTGAGCGCAGATCATACTGACTTCTACTTCCACCCCAATTTTGAGAAAGAGCACCCCGAGGAGGTGGCCCGAGGGTCTCTTACCTACTACCAAACTACACAAGAGAACTTTCGGCTCGCCATATATTTAAAGTGCCCTCATGCCGCAGAGACACCTCGCCTAACCACTATACCGTCTGCGGCTTCCACTAGTTCTGTACCTGAGCTATATGGGGAAAGAGGTAAGACTTGAGTTCTGCAGGGTTTCTATCGTCAAAGCAACAGTGTGAGGGCAAGAATTGTCCCGAGTTAATCAGATTAAATCCTGGGTGATTCTCCGCTTGGAAATAAGCGCTACTTTTGCATTAAAAAAAATCCTAAAAGATAATAACTATAATTTTCCAGGTGAAAATATCGTTTGGCTTTCCTTCGTGGTGCTTAATTTGAATTCCCCCACTGCATGCTGATTCTTGTGGAGTGAAAAAAAAAATCCATGTTTCATCACAGAATGGCTACAGGCCTCTAAAATTTTAGAAATAATGTGACTTCAACCAGTCTTCTTTCTTTGTCTTCAGGCATCAAAAGACGGGACGCGCGCCTGGCGCTCCCTTTGCTACATTTAAGATTATCTTTAAACTAATATTTCCACACTGCCAACTCTTAAGTTCCTTAGCGATTTCTCTGACTTTGATTCTCCGATTGACTCCAGTGGCAGTTAACTTATCTTTATCAAATGAGGTACTCGGCCGATGAGGATTGCATTTCATTTTCATCTGTCAGGTGAGCTTCTTTAATAGATTTGCAGCCGTCATGCACCCTAGACTGGGAGATCGTTTAACCGGCGAATAAATCTGGGAGAATCTTAAAATTTGTTTAAGTGGCGAATAAATCTGAGCTGGAATGATACTGTTACGTTTTTCTCTTATTCTTCTGACACCAGTTGTTACTTTATTTTCTTCCGTCACGTTCGTACGGGGTTCCTAGATTTGGAGTGAATAACGACGACACTGATGAAGTATCGAAACACACTTTATTGGCCAGTATTGTCAGGAAAGCTCCGAAACACGTTTTACAGTGGTCGAAGATCTACTATAAACACGCTGACACGATCAGCGACACAGCCTTCAGGTTATCAGGCTATCACGGTGGAGACAGCTTCCTGCAAAGCAGCCGACTCTGCTTTCCGGAGTACAGCTCCCGACTCTGCTTGGTCGTTCTCGGAACTCCACGTACTCTCGAGACTCTCCACGCTACAACTCGCGATGCACTCGACAACACACGAGCATAGCTTCTGACTCTTCGGTTCAGTCTTTCCCGGAGCTCAACACGCTCTCTCGACGATGCACTAACAGACTCCTTCAGTGGACTCGACGACTCACTCGGCACTCGCTGCCCGGCTGTCAAGTCGATCGACTCCGCAGGGATTAACTCTCTAGACGAGGCACACACACTCTCGATGAAAAACACACTCTCCCTCCTGATGAAGCACACTCCCCTGACTGCGGACCAGCAGGGTTTATATAGCTTTCGACTTGTGTTCGGGAATATTCTGGACTAAACCGTTAAGAATTCGTTCCAGAAGGTTCTCCAACCGTCCATGGTATATCTCCAATTTTGCAGCCAAATGGACGATTTCTCGCCAAATGTGACAACCCTGTTCTCCTTGCTTTTCCGTCTGAGTAGCTTATTAATTATATTTTATTCGCATTGCTTTGTTGTCAATTTTTTACCAAGCTTTCATTTCAGATGAGGCACTATTTTTGCATAGTTTTTCTATAAATGCATTCCCTTAATAATTAAATCTTTTTTATTCACATCTTCTGATTCATAGTCAATTTTAATTTGTTTCTTTACACGCGTTTATACTGAGAGGATTAGACTAAATTAAATACAAAAATGGATAAAAACAAGAAAAAGACTTTTTCCTGGTTTTTCAGGACAAAATAGAAAATCTTAGTTTTTTAGATAAATTAGTGCAGATGTTACTTACACGAAATAATACTTAAAACGATCGGATATTAAATAATAGGTAATACCTTTTTACGATTAGAAAGCTTCAAAAACTTTTTTCAGGCGAAATATTTTCAACACATCGTATTAAACCGCTAACAGAGTAAAATATAATTTGTAGAAGATAAAAAGTTTCCGAATGGCAACAGTCTCGGGAGTCGCTGGAGAAAAAGAATGCCTTATTTCGAAAAGTGTCGCCACTACTCGCTTTCAAATCGTAGAGTTTGCCAATAAAAATTTTGTAAGTTTTACAAAATATAAAATAAAAGTAGCAATGCCAAACATTAAATATATTATTATTATTACAGAGGCTTTTCACACATTTTTTAGACGATGTATATTGTATTCACAAAACTAAATTACATAAAATTCTTGTGTTTTAAATGTTCTATTTGACATGCCTTATTCTGAACTAATCTTTCGACACCGCAATTTCGAGGATAATAATGCCTTTTGAAGTGGCAGAAGAGGTATTCTATCCCATTCCTCCCGAACAGCTTTCTAGAGTCCTGTTAGGGTTTTGGGACAACGTTTGCATAATGCAGTTTTTAAAAGTCCGAAAACACAAAAATCCATAGGTGACACATTGGGAGATTTAGTAGGGATATCAGTGAAGTAATACTAGTTTTTTGTTCCATTTCTTTTAGGAAATTTACAGTGGATTTTGATGTGAGCTTTGTCCTGATGGAGTCTCACAGATTGATGGCAATGTGGGTAAAGCGATGGTATTTCATTCAGAAAAATTGGATAAAATATGTTCCTGATTGTATTTGGAGTTAATCTTGATATTTTTTTTTGCACTCTCTTTATTTTTAACTTGCCATTATAAGAAAAACCAGCAACAATCATGAATCCTTTAAAAACTTTCTTTCGATTCTTCGAACCATGTACTTAAATTTTTTTCTCCCCTTTTATGATACTAAATGGCTCTTTTTTTTTGTTACAATCATTTAAATACACCCATGCTTCATTTATTGTGACAATTGTTTTCCATTTTTCTTTGGATAAGTGTTTCTCATATAGAATTCTGCAGCGTGTCCTGCGTTGAGCGATATGCTTTAGAAGAAGACGATGCGCATTGCGTTTTTTCTCTTTCTTAAGATTTAAATCAACGTTTATGATTTTGTTTACAGTGGACACCGAGCATTTTAATGATTTTGCAACTGTCCTTTGACTAGGGGGATTTTCTTTTAACATTAAACAACGTACTTGTGCAATAGTCGAAGATGCCCGTTTTTTCCTTGGATACTTGTTTGGAATTTTTGTCCCACTTGAGGCTCCAATTTGACGTTTTTTTTTTTTCCTTTCTTGTTGATGACATTACCTATCGACGCTTTAGATATCACAAAACCATGACTCTCACATCGTTTTTGGATAACGGAGTATGCATATTTCTCTTCGGAAAGAGCGTAAATGTAGCCTTCGAATCACTGCTTTGTTAAGTTCGCCATTTTGAATAAAAACAAAACTTTCAAGCCACAGACGATAATTTTGACTTTTAAAAACATAGTACAATTGCAATGACTTTTGCAGCAAACTATTTTTTATTACCGCTTACCAAAATCGTCTAAAAAATGTGCGAACAGCCTCTGTATTTTGAGTTTAGAGAAGAGTCAAATTAAAGAAAAATGTGTTAGCAACTTAAAGTAAATGCTATAAGCCAAGCAGATGCCTAAAAGTTTATTCTCCCTCCCTTACTTGGCTTAAATGTATGAAAATATCGTGGTGCAAATGTTATGAGCAAAAACATTGTGAAAGTTGAGATAAGAAAATTAAAAGGAAGCAACAACTCTTCTGCAACTTTATGATTCCAGACGCAACTTTATAATCTCGAAACATTATCATAGAGTATAACGTGACAAAAATAAAACTGCAAAATACCGCAAAAGTGTTGCTTAAAATACGATACTATGAAAATTTTGGTTGTGTTTGGTAACGATGATTTTTACTGCGCTATTTTAAAAATTTTGAAGTTTCGCTACTGTTATCATTTGTTTTTTTCTATTATGCTTTGTACGATAATACATCTCATTCGCACTGTTTTATCTGCGAAGATTTATTCTTGCGATGTTTTCGTTACAATGATTTTGCCGAACAAAGCTACTGACAGTTAAACCTTACGAATTATATTAGGTTGACTGAAAGGCGATCTAAGATTCCAAAATTCGGTTGCATAGCAAACCACAAATGAAGTGGTTCTGCAATCGAAATTATTGCAGATCATTATAATTTTGATACTGTACCATTTCTTTACTATTATCCGTAGGTAAATGATGTCATATGATAACGTATGCATTCTTTGTATTATGATTTATGAGTTTCTCCTTCATAAAAGTTCTGCAGAAATCAATCTGAAGATTTTTTTTAATATAATGCAGACGCTATCAGTTAAATGCCAATACCAAGGGGGTTTAAAGAAGGGTAGAGTAAACAGCAACACATCTCTTGAAATAAATAGGAATGTTTTCTGGTACCGCTATTTTGTTATATGTGAATGAATAGCTGAAAATCTTCATGCTCACAAGAATTTCTTAAGGCGTTTCTGACTGCATCTGATCTGACATACAAATCACATAACTTCTTTGCGCGGCCAATTAAATTATACACACTTTTTTTTTTCATTTCATTTAAACTTCTAGTTTAGGTATTTCTTACTTAATTAACCATTCTGGTCAGCTTTTCTCGTATAGAGGCAGACTTTTAGTAATCTTATTTTATGAGTGCAAAGCTTTCCCAAATATACTTACGGGAACCGGGAGACTGCATTAAAAGTCATATTTCTCTATTTGACGAAAATTAATTTTTTCTTTTAGATTTGACATTGCAAAAGCATGAATATTTTCGTCATTTAAAATACTTCTGTAATTCAAAGGTTTATGACAACGACATAAGATTGCGAAAATAAAGACCGGATAAAAACTTTTCGAGCCGGGTAAGGAGAGTGGGTGTATATAAATATATAACTACCGGCTGCAATAAAAAAGGGAGGTGCACAACTAGATGCTATAGCAGTCTCATATACAAAAGTTCAACGTTCTAAGGCTAAACGTTTTTGAGTTATGCAAGTCACCTACGTAGATACGTACAGACGTCACGAAAAAATCCATTTTTAATCCGTTTTAAATCCATTTTGCAAACAATTTTGAAAGAAAATTCGTACGTACAGACGTCTCGCAGAAAAATAGTCAAAATGGATTAGGGAACGGTCAAAATGGATATTTTCGTTTAGATGTGATACCTGAAACTATTAGCGATTACATTACTTCCGTTACTTACTTTCCATTATTTTCCTTTACTTCATATAAGGCATTAAAAAAAATAAAAATAAGATATATATATATATATATTTTTTAAACTCTTTCTGTTGATGATACTCGAGAAAGACAGTTACTGAACGCAAAAGAACAATTTGGGTTTGATAGAAATACAAGTCTCCATTTAAAGTAGGTTTTGCTCCGAATGCAGTTAGATGTGCAAAATGTGGTTTACTTTTATCTATTAAAAAATAACCAGCTGTTAATGCAAACATATATTGCCAATTTGGTTAATGTGAAACAGTTCTGACAACCAAGGGACTACGGCTAATCAACAAACTTGATGAGATTCATAACCAGATGAACATTCATAGCCAAGTGAACTCTTGCAGTATGGGATTCACAAATCACATACTGTAAGAGAAAATAGACAAAGGTTTAATAAAAAGAAATTCTTATACATCCAGCTTAAGAGTTAAGTTATTGCTCATTAGAGATTTTACCAGTTTAATCATTGCAACATTTCTTGGCGAATAAAACTTTCATAGTAAAGGGGAAGACGGAAAGGTAATAAAACGATTATTTTACCGCTTTGTAAATATAATTATTCAAAAAAGAAAATCTTGGTGAATAAAACTTTCGTAGTAAAGGGAAAGACGGAAAGGTAATAAAACGATTATTTTACCGCTTAGTAAATATAATTCTTCAAAAAAGAGAACTGAAAAGTTGCCTGACAGAACAGGCAATATTTTTCCGCACTGGAAGTTGCCTGTCTTAAAACCTGTATTACTCTCTGATCAGCCTGATATTACTGAAATATTCCTATTCTATACCACAGTTTTTCTACATGGCTACTTCACGGCAGCTTCGTAGACTCCAAGCTACGACACTTTCTCCAGTGCTGAGTTGTTTTTCAGAAACTGCTCAAGGGACTAGCACAATCAAAGCTTTTGGGGCCCAGTTCCATTACATCGATAAGCAGGAAAGACTGATCGATGATAACTGCAGAGTTTTTCTAAATTATACATTCGTTAATAGGTAAGTGTTCTTTTGTTTTATGCTTCGCTCATTGTCAGCTGTTAAAAAAAGTACAATACAATTCAGTAAATGAAATGTTCGAGACATTTAATGGAGCAAGTGCTGGAATTTACATTTCAAGATTTAAAATTACCAAAGCAATGCAAGCATATACACTCATGTAAATAAATTAAGGATAATGCAAAATCAGGCAAAGGAAGAGTTAGAAGCAAAACAAATTTGACTTATTTGTAAAGCTTATTTATAAAGAGCAAAAAAACGATGCTATATGTTTGATATTATTAAAAAAATTAGCGATTTTTTCTCCCTGGAGCAAATTACAAAAAAAAAAAAAAAAAAAAAAAAAAAAAAAAAAAACTATTTACAAAACCCAATATTACATGGTTGGTATGATTGTTAATACATCGTATGTCTCCCAGACGATGCCATACAGTCCGTACAACGCCTAGGCATACTGAGTATCAAATTATCGATCTGATCTTGGGGGATATTACACCACTCAAAAAGCAATGCTCTCCGAAGTTCCGGTAGAGATGTAGGAGGAGGTTGACGGGCTGCAACTCGTCGGCCAAGCATGTCCCACACGTGCTCTACTGGATTCAAGTCCGGTGAGAATGCTGGCCAGTCCATACGGGTGATATCCTCCGATTGAAGGCATTCGCTTACGATGTTTGCACGGTGAGGACGGGCGTTGTCATCCATAAACACAAATTGTGCGCCCATGGCGCCCCGAAACAAACGTACATGTTGTTTCAGAATGACGTCCCGATAGATTTGGCTTGTCATGGTTCCAATTTGAACATGAAGGTCAGTTCTAGAACCCAGAATAATTCCACCCCAAACGAGCACTCCTGCACCACCGTAACAGTGTCGTTCAATGATGTTTTCTTGGTGGTAACGGGTACCTGGAGCTCTCCATATGAAAGTCCGGCGAGAATTAGACTGCAAGCTAAACCTAGACTCGTCGGAAAACATCACACAAGCCCACTGTTGCGAGGTCCACGATGCATATGCTCTCTATTCTAGGCTAACCGCAGGCGACAGTGAGTTGCAGTAAGTGGAACGCATCTGACAGGTCTAGGAGCATATAGACCAATGTGCCCTAAGCGTCTGTACACGGTCTGCCTTGATATTGTCGTACCAGTGAATGAAGAGAGCTGACGAGACAGGTCTGAAGTTGTGCTTCGCCTGTTTCTTTTGGCAGTAACTGCCAAATACCGGTCCTCATTCGGCGTTGTAACTCTGGGGCGACCTGTGCTGTAACGTCCACTCACATTACCATCATCTCGGAATCGTTGCCAAAGCCTGGAAATGACATTCTGGGCAATACCAAGTTCGTCTGATACTTCCAGTTGGGTACGCCTACATTCCAGACGGCCGATAATTCTACCACGTAAAAAATCATCCAAATGCTTCCTTTGTGTCATAACTATTCGGTTATTGCACTGAAATGCTTATAAAGCGCCTGCGAACAATTTTACTTCTTTGCCTGTATTCCTTATATATCACTCTCTTACACTCTCGTCATTGTGACGTACCATCGGTGTCATGTGGTTACTTCCTGAAATTTGCATATGATTCTTGAAGATGTGTGTAGTGATTTTACAGGTGATATATTTATTTTAGAGTTCGATTTCCGCGTGACTCCGAATTATCCTTAATTTATGGACATGAGTGTATTTTCAGACTTGTTTCTCAGAGAGCAGAATGCTCTCTCGCCTAGATGCTAACCCGTTTTTAGTGAAAGCTAAATTACAAGTTCGGGAAAGTTATTTTCAAGATATGATACATAGGGTGTCCACTAAGTCCCTCAACAAATTTACATTATTATTGTAAGCCCCTGTAGAAGGTACTGCTATAAATTTTAGCGGTGTTATGACACGTATATCAAAGTCTTCTCCAAACGGTGGGTTTTGGTTTAATATACGTAATGTGAGGATATGAAGACCCAAAAATCCCCATGTCACAAGAGAATTGAAACGGGACAGCCCGAAAGAGAATGTTGGTGTGAGATGACATTCTCTTCCCAGCATGACAAGACTTTAGAACCATTTTTCTTCAGTAAACAAACAAATAACAGCCAGAGGTTTCTTCGATACATGTATTAATTGCATTTGTCTACAGGAGGACGTCAACGAGAGGTTATATGGTCGCATGTCAAGGTTGTGTAACTTACGTCACTTGTCAAAAAACCTTCAACCTTCCTTGTGACAGTGTAACCCGTAACAAAGGTAAAAGTTGTTCTATTCCCAAACAACAAGTTGTTCAGAAACTTCATGTACAGCTTGTATATTATGTTTGTTGCTGCGGGTTATAAATATAAAGAGGTGTACACATAGATAAAATAAATACTACCCAAAAATATTAAAATAAAATCTCTTTCCCTTTTTTTTGCAGCTCCCCATAATTTCTTAAATTTTACATAACACAAAAATGCACAGAAGGTAAAAATATACAGTACACATAAATATCTAAAAAGAGAAAAATAAAGATTATAACATAAAAATGTAGGACATAACATAGAATATGCAGCATAGCATACAATGTACAACATAATACATAACCATAAAACATAACATACAGTCAAAAGTATATAAAAGCAAAGAATGAAAGTTTTATTTCGTTGAAAATTTCTAAAATATTAATTCGCCAAGAATTATCGTTTTCTAAATCGTAGATAATTAAACAGTTCGATAAGGTGAAAGAAGAAAAAATTTTTTTACTTATGTTTTTATTTAATATTTAATTTTTTCCCCTTCAACTTTTATGGCAAAATAGGATATTTGTTTTTCGATGTAATTTGAGTTCAACGTAAAATTTAGTATTTAATATTATTGTTTTGTTTCATTTTCTTTGAGGAAGAAGGAGAAAAGAAATAACAATTATCTTTTTGTGCAATTTAATGTTTAATGCAAAGTTTTTAAAATGAACAAATGTTTCTTCGTAACATTTTCAGTTAAACAATTGTGAAGCATTATCAATGCCAAATTCATCAAAATTGCCAATGTAACAGACAGTAAAACTATCCAAAAACATTCTATGAAAACAGTCCGTTGGAAACATTCAGACAGAAAACTGTCGCATTTCTTTGTCAATTCAGTGTACCGTTGTTCGAAAGTCTGCGAAGAATCTTCGAATGAACGTCTTCAGAGAAAAATAAGAGCATAGCACATGTATCTTTCAGTTTTCTTCGTAATGAAAAGAGTACGAATGTATCTAAAAATTAGAAATTGTAGTTTAAAATTACAGGTGCGTGTTACACACCGGTCAGCGTTATACGGTACATCTATCTGAAACAGATAAAACAGATAGGTGTCAAATGTCACTGAATCCCGATTCGAGAATTCTCTTACTCTCATTTCTGATCTGTCAAGCTGGGTTTATCTGTTAGAGATAAAAGCAAAATATCAATTGTATAAATTTGAAAGAATCCATTCAAAACCATAAAAGGGAATTAAAACAAGGTAGGAAGAAAAGATATGTTTTAATAGTAAACAAATGGGGGAAAAAAATGGGAACAAAGGTTTTCACACTGTCTTTAATAGAAAAAAGAACCACCTTTAAAAATCAATGAAAGGACATGAAAGTTATTTTTAATCTTTAAACCTAATTTCATTTGTAATTTACTGGAGAAAATTACGAATCAGAGCTGGAAAGTTTTATCACCACAGCAAAATTGTTTGTGATTTCCCAATCTTAGGTATAGAACTCAATTCCTATATTTTTAGTCCGAAAAGGCTTTGTCTCTGAGCGACTATTGCGTTTTGCGATTTTGGGTTGAAACACTATAAATGGCTGTATCACTTTTCAAACTGTTGCCACCAAATATTATCTCCCTGTATTATATTTGAAGAAATTAAGGTACTTTTCCCTTTCGCCGGCGCAAATCTCGCCAAGCAGACTTTATTGGCGACAACATACAGTATACATATAAAAAATATTAAAAAAAAAAATTTAGTTCTAAGAATTCTTTTTTTGAAGGCATAAACATTTTAACATCGCTTAAAACTTTATAAAAAGCCAATAAATAAAGGCAATAAATTTGTAAGAAGACATTAATTTAAGAATTTACTATGCTTTCATGGTTCAACATCCTCATTCGCCGGTTCATATCACGTGACCCCAAGCGATCTCATCTCACGTAAACTACTCTACAAAAATCTAATGCTCTCAGTAATTATCTACATTAATTTCAAGTTAAATCTTAATTTGGAACACAAGTTTAAATGCAAGAAATATTTCAATGCGTACGAATAGCTTACTCAGAAATTATGTAAAACTGCAGTGCTTTACTTCACTAATACATTCTCATTAGAATTAAGGAATTTAACCCTTGACTTTCCTTTTCTATATTTTCGGCTTCGGGTAAGAGCTGTGATTGCATCCTGATTGACTTAATTACCGAAAATGGCCTTAGACATAAAACTGATATATCTGATAAAAATTCTATGTAATTATATGCCAGTATTGAAGAAACACATCAATCTGATAAGAAAAAGCTGAGACTTGTTTTGAAAATGAGGCGTAAAAGGTTACCAGCGAGAATATTCCGTTTGGCATCGGTTGTACCATTATTGGCGACTTTATCGCTTGCGCCAGCAAAACGGAAAAGTACCGAAATTAAATAATAAAGAATCTGCGTAGTATGTTTCTCGCATTGTGCTAAAATAACGGTACCTAGAGCGATCCAGTTTTGAATGACGTAATCCTACTGCGAATATGGGCATCTGAAAGCCCAAATTTGAAATTTGAAATTTGTTTTATTATCGATTTCATATTTTGTAAAACTTTAACGTATTTTTGATTAACAAACTCAAGGATTTAAAAGAGAGTAATGGCAGCGTTGTACAGGAGGAAAAAAAAAAAAATTATCTCCAGCGCGTGAGACTGCGTATCGGAAATTCTAAAGATATACTCAATTTAAAACTGTTTTGCGATATTGCTCTTGAACTGAATATTAGGGTTTAAGTGCAAAGAACATGATATTTAATAAATAAAGTTAAAACACGAAATGTTAAAAAAACGCCCCTTTGGACGTAATTTAAAATCTGAAACCTTTCAAATTTTCTTTTCTTTTCTTTTTTCCTTTTTGTTAATTGAATCATTCTTTCATTTATGTTTTATTGGAAGATATATTTAATAAAATTCTGGATCATAGTTTTAAACTGACTCAAAAAAAGAATAGTTATCATTCAGATAAGCACGCATAAGATTCACCAAAGCGTCAAATAAATTCTGGTGATAAAATAAAATAAAAAGTAAATAAATAAATAAAATGTTAAAAAAATGTCTACTGTTCTTCACTCATGTAAATTAATGCTCATGTTTTTGCACGTTTTATTGAATGATAAACAAAAGGAAGTATAATGTTTCACTGATATTAAAAGATGTATGAATACTCATTGCAGATGGCTCGCAATTCGATTGCAATTCCTCGGAGCTGCTATTGTTTTCATTGTAGCTTTGTTGTCGGTTCTGGAGAGAAATGTTTTAGCTGCAGCTGTTGTAGGCCTGATGCTGTCGTATGCACTAAATGTAAGTGAAACTTTCATATCTATGGCAAGGAACATTAATTTTGAAAAGGGGATTATCGTAAATTTAAAATTTATGTAATAGTCGAAATGAAAACATGATATTTTCTAATCCAGTTTAACTTGGTTTATTTGTTTATGGCAAAGCACTCGAGGGCCTTCTGTCTAACTGAAAGGATGCCTTCGCGGAGGACTTGCTAAGGGAAACTGGGCCGTACACACAGAGGAACGTTACATCTAGGATAAACTATGAAAATGCCCATGGCGCCAGCCAGTTTTCCTGAAATCGAACGCATATCAAACTAGCTGTGTTCAGCGACTTTACTGCTGGACCGTTGGTGGACTTCTAATCCAGTTAAAGCATTCCCTATTGTTATCTCGCAAAACATATTAATGATAATAACTTTTGAGAAATAGCTCACTGCAATTTTTGTATACCATATCTTCATCCAAATTTGATATTATTATACTTCAAATAAAGCGCATTCCGTCATCTAATAAACATGCATCATATTTAAGTCAACGTTAAATTGGACAAAGTCAGAATTATATACAGTAAGCAACAATGTCTGGAAAGTTCTCTTCTTTGTTAAATGATTATATTTCATATTATAGCTTGCCTTGTGATTTACAAAAATAGCAGCAACGATTTTCATTACGTCATACGCTCTACTTTGCTGATCATTTCCTTCGCGTTCAGAAAACCATATTAAAATAAAAACAGCAAAAGCGTTTGTAGAAAGGAATATGGAAAGTGACCAACTGAGTCATATTCCTTTTCAAATTGCTATTTCAATTTGAAATATGCACTAGAAACATTATCAATATTAAACACTTATATTATTTTCACAAACCTTTTGTCATTAACGACAAAAATGACGCAAGAATATTTGAAAGAAAATCTTCATATCTGTCATCCCGATTTCATAAAAACATAACATTTTCAAAATCTTGCACAAACTATTTTTTATCCGTAACATGCAACAACGATAGAAAGACACAGCCAAAAGGGAAATCGGTTATGAAAAAAAAACTCCTATTGATTAGTTTTTTAAAACGATCAACACCAATTTTAGAAAAATAGAAGAAAAATACCTACGACAAAAAATATTAACAAAAAACAAAAAAAATTAAAAATATAACAAAAACTTTAAAAAATTAACAAAAAAAGTATTTTCATTTCTTTCCGTAATTTATAGTTCTTATGCTAACATTAAAGGCCAGAAAGTTAATGATACGGAATATATTTAATAACGGTACAAATGTTAATGTAACTATTTGCTGTAGTATATTTAAAATACGCTAAGCAAGAAATCTATAATCAAGCTGCAACAAAACTTAAACTTCGGTAATAAAGGACTGAAATGTCTTTTTATTAGTCATGCTAGATGCTAACTATAAAAGTGTTCGTAATACAAGATGAACACCGAAGAGTAACGGACATTTCGTTATAAATAAGAAAAAGATTACTATCTTCAAATAAATATATCTCCTTCAAAACATTTTTTTTTTTTCTTTTTCCTTTTTAAAGGTAACAGACAATTTAACCCAGATGGTTAGAATACTAACTCAACTCGAGAACTGCATGGTGTCGGTGGAAAGGATCAACGAATATTCCGAACTTCCTCCAGAGGTAAGCACTAACATTTAAATTTTTATTTCCTTAATTTTACTCTATTTGGCAAAGTGGGCCGAGTATTTCTTGAATATATATCCATCTTATACTGAGTGTATTACCGGTTTGCAGGCATCTTGGAAAACAGACTCCTGTTTGCTATCTTTAGATGAGTGGCCAAGACACGGAGCTGTTTCTTTCCGAGAATACAAAATGAGATATAGACCAGGAACGGATCTAGTCCTGAAAGGAATCACTGCAGAAATTACTCCTGGTGAGAAAGTAAGAAAAGTTTGTAGTTTTTAGATTACATAAAAGCTGTTTGATACGTATTATTCAATCGATGCATCCGAGAGATACACGAAAGTATTATCATTTGTAAGCGTCATAAATTTACTTGAAATTTCTTAAAATATTATAAATATATTCATAAATTAAGCTGACTAAGTTTTCCTATTTATTAACACTTACACCATAAAAAATCAACAAAGTTTGTAAATACAGTAAAAAATATTTCTCGCAGAAATTTTATCATAGTTTCATTTGATGTAAAATCTTTATTCACCAATGCTCCATCGGAAGGTACACATAAATGCCCAGAAACGAGACTTAAAGAATTTCATTTCTCCTCTATCAAAATTAATGAATTAATTTTCCTATCTTGACTCTGTCTGACTGATACATTTTGTTTCTCAAAATTAGTATTACCACCAGACTGTGATATTAACAATAGGAAGCTCTCTCAGTCCCATTCTTGCTCATATCAACATGCATTACTATGAATCCAAATTATTTGAAAACTTAAATTGTTTACGCTACGTTTACGATACTTTTGCTCTGTTTAACGGTAAAAAAAGAAGATCTGAATAAAGTTCTCTTAAATTCCACTAACCCTACTATTCAGTTCACTTTTGCACTTGAGACATAAAATTCCCTTCCGTTTCTCGACATCTTGGTCATACGAAATATAATATCTATAGTTCTGTATATCGCAGACATTCATCCACCGCAAATCAAATGCTGTCATTCGACCGAACAGAGTTTGGCCTCTTTTTTATTCCTTCGTTTTCTTTGCTCTCCAAGTTGGCTTATGATCAAGAACTCAAAAGCAACTGCTATTGACAGAGGCTTTTCACCTAGTATTGTTCACCAAACAGTTAAAACAAATTCATTTCAATACAATAAAAAGCATTCTCTCGTTTTGAGAGATTAGAAAAATTCTGTATTTTTAGTCCCTTCATTCCTTCGATTAGCTGTAAAACTGCATGTATTTGACAGAAGTTTAACTTTCGTGTCTTCTTTTCTCCTACCGGTAAAATTCGCATTTCCATACTTAAAGACTTTCCGAATACGAAAGCCTGTTGCATATAAAGTATTCATAGCTAATATGGTTTAATACATATTTGTGAAACTAAGACCGCCTTGCAGTTTGATACAGAAAAAAATCTGATGTGTACACCACATGACTTCCTTATATTGGAATATTAAATTATACGCATTTTTTCTTGCATTTCATTTAAACTTATTGGATTGAAAATCTACTTCGCCGACAGCGCATAAACTACAATAGAATAAATGCATTCTTTAAAATTCACTCTATTATTTGTTTACCGTAGCGACACTCTGGCGCTAGATTCACTTAACAATATTAATAATTATATAACAGTTAACTTATATAATAATTACATAACAGAAACTAAGTTAACTGTTATATAATCCAATAATTATATAACAGTTAACGTATATATATTTCGTTCATATTATAACTCATAATGCACAAAATTTATATCATTTAAAGAATAGAATTATCCAATCGTTGCCACATGTTCTATTCAAATACGATAATAAAGCTAGAATGATGTATAAAAGAAATTAAGCAAACAAAAGAAACAGTTTTTCACAGACGATTGAGTATTTCTCATTTAATTAATTCAGTTCTCACTTCGCGAGAAGGCAAAAATACATAAAAACTCAAAACATCTATATTAAAAATTACGAAGTAAATCTCAAACACTTATTTCCTCGAAAAAATTCCAGAAAGAATTAAGCATGATTTAATTGGCAATAATAAATGAATGCGTTATCTTTGTTGTTGCGAAGCTAAGTTTCTCTAGATTGGCAACAAATCCACTAGTCTCCTGTTTCAAATGTAAACATCAATGGCCGCCATTAAAAACAGGCTTAGCGGCAATTAAACAACTTTAAAATTGCTGATAATTCTAAAAATATTGCACACAGATTTACTAAAGGCATAAAATCCTTAACCGGAAGATAAAAACAACATAATTCAAATCATTTTTAAAGCAAAAAATGTACAATTTACAAACATATAAGAGTAAAGAAACTGAGATCACTGAGCTGGGTAACAGAGTGGATATATATATAAATATATTTATATACGTTTGGTGCGGCCGATTGCAACCAAAATACGAGGTGCACATCTACATGTTATAGCAGCCTATATACAAAGTTTCAACGTTCTGAGGCTACTCGTTTTTGAGTTACGCGAGATACGTACGTACGCAAGTACGTACATACGTTCGTACAGACGCCACGAAAAATTCTCTTCAGAATTAATTTTAAAGCAGTTTTATAATTTTTTGAAGGAAAAGAGTATTTTATTCTGTCCTTACGTACAGATATCACGCAAAAACATCGTTAAATTGCATTCGATTACGATCAAAATGAATATTTTCGTTGAAATATACTGCCTGAAACTTTTCGCGATTACAATACTTCCTTTTTACTTCGTACAAGGAAGTAAAAAATCCTCTATTGCCCAACATTACTTGTCAAAAAAGTCTTATCTTCCATTTTTCTGCAGCCAAAATGATTTAAAACGCAACTTTAATTAGTGAACTGGATTTTCTAGACGATTTTAAATTCATAAAAATCTTTCAGTTTTGATTAATGATCCAGGTCTTATCTATCTATATCTCCAATTTTTAAGGAAATTTCTTAATAGCAGTTTTCACTTTTTATCAATAAAAATGATGCCAGCAATTTTGTTTTTCTTTCCTTCATTAGTACCTTGAATTTTCTGGTCTATTGTTATCGCGTCAGCCCAGGATACTCCTTCTTCATTTTTACTCCTACCTGAAGGTTCTATTCAAACTTTCGAAAATAGTCTTGCAAAATTTATAGAATTTATATCAATTCTTTTTGCTTTAGTATCTCCAAGATGTGTTTTTCGGCATGCTATTTTGGTTAATATAAGTATATCTTACTTAATGTCGTAGAAAGCCTTTTCAACTCTGAAGTAAGAGATCAGTTTTTTTACATCTTGAATCGTTGGTCATGAATAGCTTTTTATTCAAATATATCTTACTTAATGTCGTAGAAAGCCTTTTCAACTCTGAAGTAAGAGATCAGTTTTTTTACATCTTGAATCGTTGGTCATGAATAGCTTTTTATTCTTATCTAAATCTGTAAAAATTATCAAGTACATGGCAAGCCAGAAAACATGGCAAATGATATATTTTAAAAAAATAATATGAAATTTAAATTTTTATGCAAATGTATCACAGGTTTTCTGCGAAGAAAGTTCAAATAATAAATAATTTCCTATTCTACCACAGATGCTTTAATCCAAGGCCCTTAAAATGCGAATCGGATTACTTCCGAAATAATTGTGAAATTCACGTGATTTAGACCATTTTCCACCTGAAAATATATTAACGCATCGATTTAGAAGTCGCAAGAAAACTGAATTTAGTAAAACATTCTTACAACTGCAATTTGAAACCAATGATTTTCAGTTAAAGTTTACAATACAGAATGTATCTTTCAAAAATCTGCATTAAAATTTAATATGCATAATTGGTTTCAGTAAATTTTTTCTGTTCCATAAAAACTTTAATCAGTAATATCTCAAATAATTACGATTCTATATGAAATCGTTATTTGGGGGGAAGAGGGAACTAATTTACCTATAGGAAATATTTTTTCTTTCATACATTTTTTTTTTTTTTTAAGGAATCTCTAGTTAAAAATATACTTTTCGTGCACTTTTACTAAAAGGTGCTATGTGACCAAACCCGTATTCTGTACTCCCATCATATTCGACTCAATTCTAGAGGCCCAAACTTATGATTATTATTCAAGAGCTTTGAAATCGTGCAATATTTTTGAAACATCCTGTATAGTTTATGTTTCTTTACAGGTAGGAGTAGTGGGACGAACAGGAGTTGGAAAGAGCTCTTTGGCACTTGCTTTATTGCGCATCGTAGAAGCAGATTCTGGACGTATCCTCATCGACGGAATCGATATTGGAATGCTTGGGTTGCACGATCTACGATCGAAGATTACAGTAATACCACAGGTAATTAATATGCCTTTCAATTTGAACGCGTCCACCTAGCGTTATCTCGCCCATCCGTCTAACGGCGCCATTGGTAGTGAAATTGATAATTGTTCCAGGTTTGGTCAGTTTCTGTGAAACAGGTAAATAAATTTGGAAGTCTGTACCATAGAAAAGGCCCACCAGCGGCCGAGCAGTACAGTCCCTGAACACTGGTAGTTCGGTCCGAGGTTCGAATCACACAAACGGGCTGGCTGCATGGGTGTGTTCGTGGCTTCCCTATGTGTAACGTCTTAATACGAGCCAGTTCCCTTAGAAAGTCCTTCGTACCTGACGTTACGAAGGCATCCCTCCCTTCCAAGTAGTGCCTTAGGGCGGAACTAATACTGATGTAGCACAGAAACCGCCATGCAAAAATGAATTTTCATCTCTAAGGCCAATATGTGGATCGGTTCTGAATGCTGGCGGTGGTTAGTCAATGGGTTGCCATAAGTTTAATTTCATAGATCAATTAGAGCTATCTTAGCAGTTTATCTAGTCGATCCCACCGATCTGAAAGACTTCAAGTTTTTAAATTTATAATAATTTGCGTCTAAATACATGTGCGCAAGGGAAAACATGACGATTAAAATAAAACTATTATTTTTCGGAATGAAATACTCAGGAACAGAAATATTCATGCGTGCTTCTTCTAAGCCAGAAGCCTCAGTATCCCAAATTTTTTCTTTCCAAATTTATTCTTATTAGCTAACAATTGTCCGAAATCTAAGATTTCAACCACATACAAAAATAATTAACAGACTCCTCCTCCCCTCTTTTTTTTACATTTTAAGCTCTTTCACAGAAGTATTAAAGATTTATAATTAGATTTTATCCGTTTAGAGAAATGTTTAAGTTCAGAAAGTTCTTAAAATATTTGTAAGTTTGACTGTACAGATGAAAAAATGCTATTATAAAAAAGGTCATAAACATCAACTTAATTAATTCAGTGCATAGTATCATTCAGTGTTAGATTGATTTGGGTTTCCTCACAGATATCATGAACAGACTGAATACTTGAAAAATGAAGAGAAGTTACATACATGCTACGTTTTAGCTCAGTCCAGAAGGTATGTCTATAATCTTATTAGCGTTTAGTCTTACAACGGCACTGGCGGGTGTTGTTGCTATAAGAATTGGTTTGGTCTGGTGGCAACATCTACATTTGGTTATTGGAACCATCTATTGTCGGAGAATGCTGCTTTAGATTTGTTAATGGTGTTGTCTGCTAATAGATGGCGCCGCTATAGGTCGATGTCCTTTGCTGCTTCCGTATATAATGATTAGAAAAAATATTGAAAAGTCATTCAAAAGCTATTTAAAAGAAACCTTTTTAAAATTATTGGAAGCACTTCCGCAGAGAACCCGGTAAATGTAAACATCGCCAACTTTGGCGATAATAGTTCAAACCTGGTACCTCAGAGTATTTATCCTATTCGCTTGTTCGAAGTTTGCAACTATTCCTCCTGCGTTCAAATTTTGTTGAAATATCACTGTCGTTCTTTGCATATTTGCAGATTTATATTATTTCTTTTCTATTTATTATTATTTTTTCTGAATTTTTTTAACAACGAAAGATATGAAATATTTTCGTAGATACTAGATGCCGGTTCTCGGTTCGGGATGAAAGGAAGAAAATACGGCGGGAGGGGTGAATACTAATTTGTAACATGGCTGTTTACGTTGTGTTCTTAATTATTAACAGCTCTAAGAACCATGAGGTTTCCAACCTCTAAAATAATTTGTTTTCGTAGGCCGCAAAAATGTGCATGTGCATTTTGTATTTGTATTAAATGTGCATGTGCAAATAAGTAATGTTTTATTTTTATTATTGTCAATCTAAAATTATGAGAATAAATCAATTTTTACGGCGTAAAATTTTAACAAGATAATATATTGTTAATGCTTTTCTAACAATAACCTTTCAGAGGATGTCAGGTGTGACATAAATAGATGATTAAATTGAAACAAAAAATATTACTGATTATATAAGATGACAGAATAGTTTGATGCCTCGCCATAGTCATCAAAATTAGCAAACCACTGCTGGTGTAAGGAATATAATGTTTTCTGAGTTAACTGTAATTTAAGACAAATTTTTTTCGTATATCACGTTTAACCAGTTAATTTCAGTATATTAATACTAATTTATGTTTCTTAAATGAATTTTTATTTCCGTTATAAATGCTACTGTGCTAACTTGAATTTAATACAAATTTATTTTCGTATATCACGTTTACCAGTTAGTTTTACATCTATATGCTTATTATCTGTGAATTTTTATTACCATATGCTTAATATATTGTTTTGTCTGCTAACTTGAATTTACATGCACTAAAAATCACGTTTACAAAATATACGGCTCGGCTCATCGTCGATGAACAGCGAGCTTGGCGAGTAAAAATGCAACGGCGCCAACGGGTTCTCTGCGGATGAAAACCCAAATTATTTTTTAGAAACGGGGCTGGTTTTATTTGTTCACATCTTTTACCATAATTTACAAGAGTTGCTAAGTTATGGTTGTCAGCAGACATTTTAGGCTTTGTTTACTACAAAGGCCAGAAGAAGCAATGGTCATTTTATTATGGATGCACCTAATAGGTGGCCACCGTTACCTCATATGAAAAGACAGAAATTTTACATCCGTGCCTTTTCCGAGATTCGAATCTGGGCCCTTCAATACGGCAGTCAGAGTAACTAACCACTTTCCCGTCTGGGCAGGAAAAGCTATCCGTTATGCATTTTTTGATATCGGCAATGTCCACCAAATTGTATAAAATCAAAATTGTAAAATCAATTTTTGGAAAATTTATTTGGTCTTCCAACAATGCTCCAAAATTTTTGACTGTGAGGTAACAATGCTGTTACACTGTAGAAGTAATAACTTCACCAGTCTTTACCTGACGTTACGAAGTCATACATTCAAGATGAGTGACAGGATTTTAGCGATTTGCAACGTGTGGAAAAATGCATATGAATTCTCCTATCTTTATGTGGACCACAACAGTCTCATTATAAATGTGTTTACTTAACATTCATTACACGAACCTTGAGCAATGTCTTGCATCTAAGTCTCATGAGAGCCACATTCATTACAAGACTTAGCTTAAATCAAGCCAAAAGCTATGAAATTACAGAATTTTAATTTTTCAGAAGGCCAAACAGTGCTACATTCTAGGTAACAAATAGAAACTGAAATTTAGAACATTTAAAGCAGTAAACGAAATGAAATGCAATTTGCAGTTTTTCTTAAATTACGCGAATAACTTTTTCTTGACGATTGCTGTCTTGAAATCAAAGCATAGACACTAACTTAGAGAAGAATATCACAATAACTGTTTAAGAAAAGAACATCATACTATGCCTTGAATTATGAGGTATTTACCATTGAAATACAAATGCATTAGTTTCGAATTTGATAAAACACGATTAATATCAGTTTAGAGCCAATGAACATTTAAATTAATTAATATTCACCTTTAAAGAACAATTTATTTGTATACTAAATTGGCACATTTTAGAATAACAAATTTTTGTCTCAGTATTTATACGCTATTAATTTGCCTCGCATAATATTCGCTACTCTGTCTACAAAAAGCTTACAAATCACTATTAAGTTGTATTAATTATCGATTCCAATTACTTTGTCACAAGTTTGAAATAGCTTTTAATAAAGGAATTTATCATATTTTTAAAATTTTCCTTTTATATACTTGTGCTTTAACGATAAACAAAAATGTATATTAGCCTATCAGGTTTCAACACAAAAGAAACGTTTTACATTTAAAAGGGGACTCATACACCTTAAAACCCATAAGATGTTCGAATAGGTGACTGTTGCAAGAATTGGGATAACTTATTTATTTTAAAAGCAATTACTACCAACTTTTCACAGTTGACTACATGATATAGCTGCTTTCTAAAATAGTAATCAGAAAGTTTGTGTAGCCACAAATATTTATAATTTAATCCGCTTTGTGACAACATTTTTCGTCATGTTTCCAACTTGCGCGCACAGTTTAAAACATTCTGTTTCATAATTTAATTCCATATTTAATATATAGCTTTTATAACATTTGGAAACTAGTGTGAACCTAAAATTCTAAAAATTTCATGTTAAATTTTTATTTTATTTTGAGTTGAGTTTATAAAATGTATTTTATTAAAAAAATTTGTAATGTTTTCGTCCATTAAATTTTTCAATATTAAAATATTCATCAGATTGTTGGTTCAGTTATAAAATAGTGCCCATGTAAAGAATTCCATCCAATTTCAAGTATGGACCATTAGCCATTTTTAAAATATCATGCGCGCAAGGTGGAAACACGGCGAAATATTATGTCACAAAGATTATTAAATTACAAAAATATTTGTGGCAACACAAACTTTCTGGCTACTAGTTTCTAAAGCAGCTATATTATGTAGTCAGCTGTAAAAATTTCGAAGTAATTGCTTTTAAAATAAATAAAATATCCCAATTCTTGCAACAGTCACATATTCGAAGATCATGAGAGGTTTAAGGTGTATGAGTCCCCTTAATGTACCTTCCCCATTGAGCAACCTTTGTATATTTTTCTACAAACTGAACAATTATCCTGAAGAACGTTAAATGAAATAGTTCTCTATGTCCAATTAATGTGTACCACGAGCCGATGAGAAACGATGATGATTCTAGGCTGTGTTTATTAGAGTTCGACGATCCGCTTGGGAACTGCTTCAAAGAACCGATTTACTACTTTAACGAGCGAAGTTACTCCGATTCCAGAAAACAAAGCTCTTTTTGAATTCACGGGCAGCTCTTGTTGGAAACGCGCCAGGTTAGCGATTTGGAGTCTGATTTTCGAGAGCAGAGCTCTTGTTGGAAGCGTGCCAGGAAAGTTCGATCTTATATTAGGGAGAAAAGAATGTTTATCTTTCCATGATAAAAATGAATTTAATTTTTTTTTACCATTTCCCAACTTTTCGAAAACATTTATTTCAGAATTTTGTTACTTCTGCGCAAAAAGATCTCAAAACTGTAGGTGAAAGAAATCAGTTCAGGCAGTTAACGTTTGATTGCTCCATTTCTTCCGATACCACTTTTCGTTCGGTTGATTTCCCTTTTGATTCTTTCTGCTGTTCGCTCTATTTTCCATATAACCGTTCTTGATTCACCCCTCTTTCCAGATTTTTTCATCAACGTTATTGCTAGTGAGCGGAGAATCATAAAAAGAACCGATTCATTTCAGTAAGCAATCGGTTCTGATCCGATCGCATAAATGAACAGTTTTGCTCATCTGTAATATCTGTTAGCTCACAAAATTCAGCTTTAAACGTCGCTAATTAAAGATATTAAGTACTCGAATCTGTTGTCAGAATATTAAAAATGTTTTATGTTTGTCCTCTCAGTTAAAATTAATTTTAAAAGAACATTTTTATATACCCAATTAATGAATGCAGGTTAAGTTAACACTTGATATTACTTAATTTAAATTACAGAAATTAGAAATTTTTCACACTTTAATAATACCACCAGTTAACAGAAACATATAACTCAGCAGACAAAACAATTACAAGGTACAGTGAAACTCTAGCAGAGCCTGTTACAAGATGCAGTGAAACTCTAGCAAAGCCTGTTACAAGATGCAGTGAAACTCTAGAAGAGCCTGTTACAAGGTGCAGTGAAACTCTAGCAGTTACAACTGCTAGTTTCCCTGCACCTTGTAACAGGCTGTTAACCTTAGATGAACCTCAGATGTATATATCTAAGGTTTACCACCTATTTTCCGTATATAATGTTTCGAAAATGTGTACGTTTTGCACCGATAGCTACCGAATATGTTGCTGTAATTTCTTTCCTACATGCGCAAAGATATTATGTGCTAATTTTCTTTATAATGGTTTTTTTAAGTAAATGATCTTTCAGGAACCTGTTGTGTTCAGTGGCAGCTTAAGAATGAACCTGGATCCATTGCAGCAGCATACAGATAAGGATTTGTGGACTGCACTTGAACATGCGCATCTGAAAAATTTTGTGAAGGCACTGCATAATGGACTTGGGTATCAAGTGTCTGAGAGAGGTGAAAATTTGAGGTACGTTTTTATATCATTTTTTACCCTAAAAAGTAAGAGACATTTCTGGCTGATTTCTGAATTTTAAAAATAACTTCAATCGATTCTTGTCAAAGAATTAGAATAAAATATAGGTTAAGACACAATAACACGCCGAATAAATACTAATTCAGAAGTCAAATAACAAAAATCAGCGTTACATTTACAAAATTTTCACAGGACTAGTTTCGATGGTTTTACCGAACCACCATCTTCAGCTGCAAAACCGCAAATGAACAAGATAGGAAATAATGATTAGATAAGATAAGAAAGCCTGGACAAGAATAAGCAAGTGGCGCCATCTGTTGGTGAAACCAGAACTAAAACATAATTTCTTTAAAGGCCGAAGGCAAATTTGGATTGGAATTAGGATCGTTAACTAGAACAGAAAGATTTTTATGAATGTGAAATGCCTCTAGAAAATCCAGTTCTCCAATGGAAGATGTTTTTTGAATAATTTTGGCAGCAGAAAATATGAAAGTGTGGTTTTCGGACCAACAATGTTGAGCAACAGAAGACTTCTGTGTTTCCTTTTTTCTAACATATGCCTCATGTTCCTTGACGCGAAAACGTAATTTGGTTCCGCTACGTAGACGATACTTTTACTCTGTTTGAAGGTAATAAAGATGATTTAAATAAAATTCTTTCAACAATGAATTCTATTGATCCTGCTATTCAGTTCACTTTTGAACTTGAGACTTGCAATTCTCTTCCGTTTCTCGACATTCTGGTCACACGTAACACATCCAACTTCAGTACTACGGTTTACCGTAAACCTTCATCGGTTTGCCGGTTCCACCACACTTTAAATCATGTCATCCGACTAAACAAAAGTTAGCTTCATTTTATTCCTATTGTTTTCCGTGCTCTTCAAGTTTGCTCCTCCAAACTAGCCCTTGATGAAGAACTAAAGTATTTAAAAGCAATAGTTGCTATTGACAGGGGCTTTCCACCCAACATTATTAATCAAGCAGTTAAAAAATTTCTCATCTCAACACACTAAAAGGCACCACTCTTGTTTTAGGAGATTATAAAAATTCTGTTGTCATTCCCTTCTTTCCATCAATTAGCTATAAAGTTGCACATATTTTGCAGAAATTTAACTTTCGGATTGTTAATTCTCCCATCAATAAAATTCCGAGTTCCATACTCAAGGACCCCATTCCGGATATGAATTCCTGGGGTATTTATAGGATTCCTTGCCAGTGTGGTTTAATTTACATTGGCCAAACTAAGAGAGCCTTAAAATTTCGCGTCAAGGAACATGAGGCATATGTTAGAAAGAAGGAAACACAGAAGTCTTCTGTTGCTCAACATTGTTGGTCCGAAAACCACACTTTCAGTTTTTCTGCAGCCAAAATTATTCAAAAAACATCTTCCATTGGAGAACTGGATTTCTAGAGGCATTTCACATTCATAAAAATCTTTCTGTTCTAGTTAACGATCCTAATTCCAATCCAAATTTGCCTTCGGCCTTTAAAGAAATTATGTTTTAGTTCTGGTTTCACCAACAGATGGCGCCACTTGCTTATTCTTGTCCAGGCTTTCTTTATCTTATCTAATCATTATTTCCTATCTTGTTCATTTGCGGTTTTGCAGCTGAAGATGGTGGTTCGGTAAAACCATCGAAACTAGTCCTGTGAAAATTTTGTAAATGTAACGCTGATTTTTGTTGTTTGACTTCTGAATTAGTAAAATATAGGTTATCATGAAACAGACGTAACCAATTTCAGATGATCATAAAATGTTTCGTTCTAGAATGTAAATACTAATTTTAGGCACTGCCTTCTATAACCCTCCATTAAGTTCTCAATAGAAACCGGAGCAAAATAAGTGTCATTTATTTAATTTCCAGGAGGGGGAAAACCGCAGAGATTGTTTCTCCTTATCAAGTCAGATGAGCTACTTAAGTTTTCATGTCTTTTGTCGGAAGGTAGATACTTCACCTTTTTGTTCACTAGCATTATGTATTGACTTAAGAAATTATTTGTAAAAAAAATATTTTCGATAGATGCATCATAAGTTTGCTAGGGTTTCAATCACAACTATTACTGATGGGTTTCAATCCACGATCCTTGGTTCGATTTGATACCTAGCCGATTGAGCCAACCTTTGCATTCCCATAGACTGGACAATCATGCTGAGAGTCCTCTTAGTTCCAAGTAATGTCTATTATGAGTCGATGTGAAACGATGGTGAGTGACCGATGTGAAGATGGTTAGTTGTTTGCTAACACGGATGATTTCAGTTTAAACATTGCTGGGTAATGTAATTAACACGTAATCGTCTGTCTGACCGATAATAATGCCTTTGCACGCAATATTCTCACTGTATCTATGATACAATGGGTCAAGAAACGTTGAATGCACGAAAAATTAAATATTATTCCACATTCTAAATGTTTAATTCAAACAGGCACGTCATAATCCCGTTTTACTGACAACTCTTGGTATTTTTATAATCTTCCATGTTTTGCAAGCACCACCTGAAAATTTACATCTGCTATAGCATGATTTTTAACATATGAGTAATTATCTCTGATAAATAACTATTAAATTGAACACGATGTGATGTCAAAACTAACGAAATTTTGAGAAAAAACTTGTAATGAACTTTCGGATCACGTGCTTCTGGTAACTTATCTCAGCGTTAGCATAACTAAGGACACGCCCCCCACTTCAAATCACCGACTGGGATTTATATTACAATGCCCTGTTTACTTCTAATTTAAATTTTGATAATTTAAAATCTCGAAGTGACATTGATTATGCAGTAAATATCTTTACTAAACATCTACATATCGCTCGTGCACAGGCTACCAAAACTGTGAATCGCAACAAATATGAACATCAGCTCCCCAAGCACATCAGAGAAATCATCTGTGTTCGCAACAGATTGCGTAAAGACTTTAATCGTACTTGGGGTCCGGCTACTAAATCTGCCATCAACATCTTAAACCGACGCATTAAGCAGCTGATCAAGGCACATAAAACAAACATCTGGAATAGCAAAATCGAAAATCTTAATCTGGATAGCAGCTCCATTTGGAACTATGTAAAAATATTCAAGCGGACTGGCTCCTGCAACAAACCCATCAGAAATGAGAGCGGATTCGCCTAGACAGACGAGGAGAAATCCGAACTCTTCGTAAATCACCTGGCCGAACAATTCATTCCAAACTCCTTTCCTGTTAACCATGAATTTGACCTGCAAGTAACTGATTACGTATATAGATGGATTAACGCGCCTAGTGCTATGAATGTTACAAATCTGGTCACTCCTCATGAAGTAAATAAAATCATCAGGTCTCTCAAACTCCAAAAAGCTCCAGGTAGCGATGCAGTCAGCGGTCAGATGCTCAAGAACATGCCGTTTAAAACTCTATGCTAACTCACGTGTATTTTTAACGCCTGTTTCTACAATCAGTACTTTCCACAGGCGTGGAAACATGCTAACATCTTTCTCATTCCTAATCTAGGAAAAGAGCATGAAAATTCCGCAAACCACAGGCCCATTAGCCTGCTGCTGCCATTTATCAGCAAAATTTTCGAAAGGCTCATATATAATAGATTGATCAACAACCTTCAATGTTTAGCGGATGATCAGCACGAATTCAAGAAAAAACTCTCTACTTCGACAAGTGAATGACAAGTACTACAGTGAATTCATAGGCTCGGCGATCCAGAATAAAATGAGTGTTGCAATCCTGATGCTAGACGTGGCAAAATCTTTTGACCGCGTCTGGCATCCACGTCTGCTCTACAAACTTATCACGCTCGACCTGTCTCGTGAACTGGTTTTGCTCATAAACTGTTTTCTCGCGCACTTTTACTGTCAAACATGAAAAGGCGATTTCTACTGTAAAGAATATCCTTGCTGGTATTCCGCAAGCTAGCATCCTTGGGCCTTTATTTTACATAATTTACGTTAACGATTTCCCCAGCTTTTCAAACGACGTTAATATTCTCCTAGCCAGCTACGCTGGTGACACGGCAGTTCCTAAATCACGTTGACAGGACCATGCTCCGGCCAGGCTGCAAGAGAAAATTCCAGCCACAGAAAAATGATGTGGCTTTTGGAAAACCAGCATTCAACTCTCAAAATCTAAAATTCTTCTCATCAGGAAGTATCGTAGACTCGACCAAATTAAAACTCAAGTCACCCTTTTTGGCTCCCCAATCCCAAGGGTCAAAAGCAAGCTACCTCGGAGTTATCTTCAATAGTAATTTCTCATGGAACGATCACGTGGCCGAAGTATGTGGAAAGGCCTACAAAATTATGTTCAGACTGTTCCTACTGTTAAAATGTGAACAACTATCGCTACACCTCAAAAAGAATATATTACGGTCATTCGACTGATTCTCACATACGGTTCCCCTGCCTGAGCTAATGCAAAAGACAAGGACTACAAATAACTTCAAGTCCTTCAAAACAAGTTCTTAAGAATAATCACCGGAGCTCCCTACTTCGTCAGAAATCGTAGTTTGCACTCGGATTTAAACTTAGAACAAATTCAAGAATTTATTAATCGCATCAATGAAAAATTCTTCAACAGAGCGATTAGCTACAACTCGGCTAATTTCGCCAATATCTTAAGTTACGTAAAACTTGATGAGGATAAACTTCTCCGCCCATATTCGCCGCTCACTTGTTACAGTCTACCTAAACTGACCAATGAGAGGTCAGCTTTTCACTTCTCTATTACTTTTACGAGGTTACCTCAACTGGAGAAGCTTCATTTTTGGACTTTTACATATGTCAGGACTCTAAGGGGGATTCATTCAGGAATCTGGAAAGAGCAGGAGTAGTGCATCTCCCGCTGCATCCTAGAATAAACAACCAAAATGTCAAAGTATCATGCTCTCAGTTGTTGTTGTCAGCTATAAGGTAAGCGTGAGTCCCGTGTACTATCTCCGATTTAGCATAGCTCTTTAGATGCACTTTCCATCGTGTTGCGTTTAACGTTCATATTAGTTTGAATTATAACTACTGACTGTAATCTGTGATATTGTGAAGAGTTGTACGACTACTTCTATGGAAACTTCCAGATCTCTGAAGTATTTCTTTTGACAGAAGTAAATTTTATCAACCTATCATCGGACCTATGTACATTCAATCTAATTTGAATCCGTACGCACGCAACACTTTTATGTCGTCAGGAGTGGGGTTGAATGTCTGTAATAGTAATGGAGTAGAAATTAAGACAGCTGGTGACTGCCTTTGCTCCATTCCAAGAAAAGATAGAAAGCGCAGCCATCTCCGTCAAATAGAGATGAAAGCTGGCAAAGATCATTTGAAGAACATGTGAACGCTATTCAAGAAAGATTGAAACAGGTCAAGCGGAAATGAAGAAAGAAATTACCTGCATAATAGAAAACAAATCTGAAGCTAAGGAAGGCAGAATAGACACGGTTGAAGAATAAAATTGAACACATTGAAGGAAAGAGTGTATACTTCTGCAGAACAAAACAAATCGAAGGAAGAGTTTAGGCTGTCCAACAACAAATTGAAGAGTTTCTGGCTTACAAGGACAAATCGGACAAAAAATTGAAGACAGAGGTTTCTGCTGTCGTCGCCAAAGAAGTTGACACATTAAAGAGATGCATAGCATCCGACAGGAAGCAATCTGGAGTATTTTAAATCTGTTACCGATGCCTATTCGCTCCCTTTCTAAAGCTATCCACCTATGATGGGCAGACCTCCTAGCAAGAGTATACGACACAATTTTCTATAGTAGCGGAGGCGAATGGATGGGATTGCAAGCTAAGGCTCGTCATCTCGCCGCTTAAGTCCTTTCCGCCACATCGGAGCTCTGTTTTAGGGAGAAGTGTTTAAAAGATTACAGCAGGCTTCAATTAATTCTAGTCAACAGAAGTCCACGGAAACACTCCATGAACTTGTCACGGGTGTTCCCAGGCTGTCTCATCTCGCCTTTTCGAAGTGTCTGACAGAAAGAAGGGACATCCTGTCCCTGCAGTACTTCATCATTGGCATCCGGGATACTGAAAAACAGAAAGAAAGCTTTGCGAAGGGCAGATGTCAAGGACTTAAAAAGCGTTCTTGCATGAAATTCGAGGCAGCCCGAGCCGCCACCCAATCAGAGCAATCACACCAATTGTAGAGACCGCCACCCAATCACAGCTGTTCAAGTCCAAGAGCCAGTGAATCAACAGACTGCTTGTCTAGATGACTTAACAAAGCAAGTAAATGTCTTGACACGAAACAGGAGTAAATCTGTCCTGCTGGAACTGTCCTGCTGAAGGCCACGTATGAAGGAACCGCAGAACACCCCAAGGAACCCCTTAGCTTAACTCCCGGTTGTTGGAATGTGTGGCAGACAACAGTTAGGTGAGTATCTCACCGCTCGCCTGGATATCTTCAGACAAGTCTTCGCTGCTCATCGAAGGTCAATTAGAAGCGAAACTCATCGCTAAAAACAGTTTTACTCCAGTCCGTGAGATCACAGATTCAGTGTGCCGGGTACCACAGCAAACGTGCCTGGCGGTGTGCAATGGTGAATGGCAGTCGGTGCAATGGCCTTCCTGACATTAATCCCTGTTCTCTGAGTTGCCCGTCAATGGTCACTGCAGTCACTTGTGTCCTGGTTACACTTCGAATCGTTCATAAGGATGTATCAGGGACTGTGAGCGCTGATCGGACAATCACTCTATCGTGGCTATCAGTCGACGATTACCTTCTTGGCACTTCCGTATGGCTTTAGTTCATCCATACCTGCATCACAGAAACATCATAGAAAGGTAAAATCGCTCCACCCAAATGTCTAGCGATCCTGCGATTTGACCACTCTCCTTCCTTTAGTCTACATCTTCTTTCAAACGGTAACATCTGCTCAAACTGTTCGAAGCCGGGTGCGAGGAACTGGTACAGTCCACGTGAGTAAACGGAACCACATTCATTTGGAAGTTATGCCTTAGCATTGGTATGTTCTCTTATTTTATACACCATCCAAATGCTCGGTTGCAATACGCTTTAGCTCCAGCTAGTCCGCCACTAGTCGCCAAAAATAATCATATGGATTAAGATACAATAACACGCCGGACAAATATTAATTTAGAAGTCAAAGAACAAAAATCAGCGTTATATTTTCAAATTTTCACAGGACTAGTTTCGATGGTTCGGTAAAACGAAACTAGTCTTGTGAAAATTTGAGAATATAACGTTGATTTTTGTTGTTTGACTTCTAAATTAATAATCATATGGACATTCAAAAGTATAGTATAGGCATATGCAATTTTATCCCACTCGGATAGCTCTTTCTTGGTGCTTCGCTTTTTATGTCATAGAGTGCATAAATTACATTCTCATCAAAATAGAAGGCTTTTAAAATTATCTTCAGGGTTTCATAAGTTTATAATAGAATATTTGCAACAAAATAGCAGCAGATAAAGAATCTCTCCAAGTTTACACTTCTAGTAAGTTTGTACAGATATTGGATTTGTACAGATTCTTTCTCGGAATTCAGTTTAATAGGTGACTAGTGATATGTCCGGTATTCAGTGGACCAAATTCAAGTGGTGATGAATTATCATCCATCAAATTTCAGTTCGGACGTTACTGTAGAGACATTTGAATATTCTGCACTAGAAAATAGGTAGAATTATTTATGCGTTTCTCTGGGATTCGAACCACGGATCTCCCAGCTGTTAGTTGAATGTGCTACTACTTACACCATAACAGCATGCAGAGGCGAATGCGTAAATTGGTTTTAAGTTTTATTGCATAACTAGTCGGTAAGTAGCAGTTATAAAGCAAGATGGCAATAAAAGGCAGCATTTTATTCATTGGTGAAAACAAAGATTATTGCAGCCTTAGAATTTGCTCAATATGAGTCGTTACACAATGGTACAGTTAGAATTTCGTACGAAATATAAAACAGAGGTACCTACACACAGGACAACTCGTGCATGGTACAACTAGTTCAAGAAAATGGCGACCTGCACGATGCACCAAACAACCGACCAGAACAATCATCTGAGACAAAAATTTGCTCCAAACAAAAGACTTTTTTTAACAAAAAGTCCAGGAATGCTCATATCGATTATCTGTAAGGTGGTACATACAAAATTTGGGACAGATTCTGTTTGTACTAATATGCATCTTTCTTGCTGAATTAATTATAGCCATTATGTAAATTTTCGAAATACCGGAAGTAATTATGAATCATTCCTGTACATTTGATTTTTACCTGTGAGGAGTAAAGAATGGAGACCATGTTCTAGATCAGTGTTTCCCAACGTGGGGGGCCACGTCCCACGGGAGGGGGCAATTAGATTGTTAAGGGAGGCAATTCGAAAATAAGACTCTTCCAGAGTTATTCCCAATTTTTCTTCAAGATGTTGAAATTTTTCAAAATTTCATTTTTTATTCCCAAAAGTAAAGAATAATTTCAGTGATATATACGTAAAATGTTTTTAAATTGATGTGCATTTTAAATATTGTATAAAGAATTTTCGCTGTAGAGATTTAAATCTTTAGAAATTTCTTCCTAAAACTTATCATTCAAGTTTCTTTCGTGAACATTTCAATTTTTGTATATTAAAAATTATGTATTTGCTCAGGAGAGCAAAGGAAATTTAGAGAGGATTAGGTGGGGCAATAGCACAAAAAAGGTTGGGAAACACTGTTCTAGATGGTTATGCCATTCCTGCAACGTATCAGTTTGCTTTCAAGCAAAACAAGCCACCTACTTTCGAAAACTCCGCACTAAATTTAAACTAGGGCATAAAAATAGGTAATAATGTGTATATATGTGTAAGTAAAAATGTAGAGATCTATCCATATGCGAGTAGAAAATAATATCATATTAGACAAGTCAAAGAAATTAATGTAGTTGCAACATTATTTATTTTACTATTATTAATTGCAAGATAATTTACTTTTTATTTTTATTTAGTTTTCTTTTTTTAAATACAATTAAAAAAATTCGTACATTCAAATTATCGATGCCTTTGATTATAAATTGTGTAATTAATGTCTCTTGAAATGCTGAACGGAAACGAAGGTTGTTTTTTATTTGTTCATTTCCAGTGTTGGTCAGAGGCAGCAAATATGCTTGGCCCGAGCCTTGCTGAAGAAAACGAAGATTCTTGTTCTGGACGAAGCAACAGCTTCGGTAGACCTCGAAACAGATAAACTCATCCAGGCCACTATACGCAAAGAATTCCGGAATAGTACTGTCATCACAATAGCACATAGATTGCATACTGTTCTGGATTATGACAGGTGAGAAATGTGGTATATTACAATAGATGTAGATTTTAATAACTATTCTTAGTTATTATTTCAATACTTAGATACAAGAGAAAAGTAACGCGTGATTTGCTCAGAGACTAGTACGTTTAAAATTAAATTCATTCCGACCAGCCCCCTTATGAACTTAAGAGCGGATTCTCTTTGGGATTTGTATTAGGTCAAGAATTTCATCAGAACAGAAAATGGCTTTTGCACATCACCAAATGAAAGTATCTGATGGAATTTAATCAGGACCGCAGAAAGCCAAAAACTAGAATTGACCCTACCAGCCCGATCCTGACTGGAACTATTCAAGAAAGGGCGCATGCCGTGACTGTAATGTGGAGTTGTGCCATTTTGTTGAAAGATATCAGTTCTGTTATTTTCCCTTTCGAAATATTTCTTCTGTCTAAGGTAAAACATACCAAGCCGATAATGCGAATATACATTAAATCACATCAAACATTCAGTTTCAGTGAATGCCAAATATGTGCCTGATTTCAAATTCGGCTGCTGTATTCCCCAAATGCCGCCCAGATAGGATAGTGGTTAATGACAAAGAGTGACGTACGGAATAGTTGCCCGAGTTGGAATCCGGAAGGAGACATGCTTGTTTGTAAGCGTATAGTGTTTGTATGGCACGGAAGCATGGCGAATTGGTTGGGAGATCCTCGGACCGCTCTCAAGGTCTTCTTTCTCGGAATTCCAAATTGCAACGGAAGCCTAACAGTTAATTAATTACAACAATACCTCAAATACCTATGGTACTATCGACGTGCTGGCCTAGCTTCTACCTGTGTATGTATTCCTCAAATTCAGCAGGTATAACTGTACCATTCACTAGAAAATAGCTTCATTGCTTTAAAAATCATTTATCACCTTCAACTGCATTTAGCATTTCATTCATAAATTCAGTACGCTTAGGCCGATCTCTGATCTTAGCTTTTGAGCAATCTGAATTTTACATGCACGAAAAACGGTTTGAATACTGGTCTTTAAGAAGTCCGAACTTCAAACTTCGGCGTGCAGCTCGAAGCTTGTGGATTACTTAAGCATGGTTGTTTTAAACATTTCATGATCTTGTCGGATGTACACGGCCGCCCTAGGGAATCCACTTTGTAAACACTCTCTATTTCTTTAAACTTGCCTTCTGCAGTAGATGGCTTGCCCCCCCCCTCCCTAAGTTTATCGCAAGCTAAGCTGAACAACTGTAATAGATATTAAACTCTATTTACTGCAACAAAATATGGCCTTTGTGTCTGCATCACCATCTTCATGTGAACTGATTGGTTACGAGCACTTACAACCGAATATAGTTTCTCCGCAAATCAACCAACAAATCAACTACGCAAATCAATCAAAGTTACCACTCCCATTCCTTCGGTGAAAACTTACCGATTTTATAATTATTTCGGTATAAAACATAAGAAAATTGACATAATATAAAATCCAATATAAAGATTTAAAATAAGCTTCATCATTTCTAATAACCCTTTATAAATAACAATATAAGTTGCATCGTAATAAGGATGAAATATGGGTTAATCTTCGGATAATGGTAACTTGGCAATTTTTTGGCGACCAACCCTGCTACAGCAACCTGCTAGTTTTTGTTTGGACGCCATTTTGTTGTCACGAAGTTTTTTTTTTTTTTTTTTACAGAACATTTTTTTTCCATCAATCTGCTAATTGAATTACGTTTATGCTAGAACTTTTATGGAACAAAAGTGCTTAATCATGACGAAGATTAGGTGCGAAATTGGGAGAAAGTGCAGAATCGCCCACTGCTTGCCGCATTTTTAAGAATTGCACATACACGATATCATCCATGTACACGTTGACCTACTTTCACTTAAAAAAAAATCCCAGAATTGCACAAAAATGTCATTGCGCATACTCTTGGCTTTATCCATGTACACTGCTAAAATCCTAGCTAGTAACCCTTATCGCCTTACCAAAATGTCATCATACTACCTGTTACCATATTCCAAAGATTAGCCGAAATATGAAAAATAAAATCGTTATACTTTAAATAACCTGTAACATTTTTTTTGCTCAGCATTGCTGTTTAAAATTTCTGTGCTGTTATTAACACAGTGATATCTGAGATAGCTTATAATTCCGCATATTGTATTTCCGATAGACTTAACGGCTATATAGAAGGATATAAAACCAGCCTTTCATGACATGATTTCTAATTTCAGAATTACTTCACACCGAATCACTGGATAATTAATCATGATGTTTTCTTCATTATTACCCCCATGAGGAAGAGGGGAAAATCTTGAAATATAAAAACTTCATATTACAGTTTAACGCCTCAAAGAAGAGTTTATAAATAAATTGTTTTAAATGTAAACGTATAAAAATTATGTAAATATTTGTTTCTCTATCTACTAGTGCGATACTTTAAATCTCAAAGGCAAGTCCTATGCAAAGCATTTACTGCAAACGCTATAATATACTTCAGTATCTAACAAAAAGGGATTTCGATTCATGCCATTTTTTTACCAATAGCCAAAAATATGTGTTACTGTATAGGGTAAAGTTGCGTAAGCCATACCCCTGAAATAAAATAAGTGTGAATCGTTTAGGATCTGTGAAAAAATAAAAATAGTGTGTGGTAATAATACCTTGTATTGTCGCTGATGACATTTATTACAATAAAATTCCATACAGTCTACTCTCTTGGATCAAAGTAATAAAATTTATGAACACGAATTGAATACGACTTAGACAAGCACTTTTAGTCGTACTACGTTTAAAATTGGACATTATAATAAAACCTTTTTTTTTTCAATTTATTTAATTATATAATCAATTACAACAATGATCGCAAAGATATTTTTCATTTTCTTGTAAACTCCAAATAAGTCGTACAGCCGTGCAGTTGGTTCAATATTACGCTTAATATTTAAAAAAGAATGATTTGCACTACCTTACACTCCATATTTTAATGGCAGTGAAATAAAAGAAAATTCAAACTTTATGAAATAGATACGAAGGAATGGTTAAATTTGGCTGTTTTAATCCGGCAAAGCTCAAAAGGGCCATCCCGTAATAGGAGCCTTTATGGAGAACATTTTAGGAAAAGTGGCTCGTATTCAAGTTACACACGAAAGCCACGAAAACTTCAAAACAGCCATCTTACTCATAGCGTGTGAACCTAGGGCGAATACAGACAGATTTTACCTCTCAGCCACTTAGACTTTTAAATAAATCGAAGCATCATCCTCTGTTTGTCAAAGTGAACACATTCAAAATTAATTACGATTGGAAATAATACCCATCAATGATTTAAATGGAAGCAGAGGATTTAAATGGAAGCAGCTTAGACAAAACCCACTTAATTATCCGTTTCGCTATGAAAATATTTTAAAAACAATTGACAGATATTTACCTTCATCTAATGATTCTGCGTTTTGTTTTAGGATTCTAGTAATGGATGATGGAAGAATAGTGGAAGATGGAGATCCGGACAAACTTTTACAAAAACAGGATTCTCTATTTTATGAACTAGGCAAAGCAGCCGGTTTACTGTGATTTATTATTAAATATTGCATTGCATCATCTAGAGGAGAAAAGTGAGACTTATGATAGTATGCAACCATATCTCATAAAATATTATCATCAAAGAAACGCAGCTCCTGTAGGTAATATAACACGTTGCACAACAATTCAAAGGTGTCGTCAAATAAAATTTATCATTTTTATGTATTACTTTACATGCACAATTTTTGGGTGGTGTCATGTTCAAAATGCATAACAACACTAAAAGAATGTGGCAAATATGGAGCAAAACGGTGGAAGGCAAACAAGCAGATATTATACCATATATTTCTGTGTATACGGCAAACAATTTTAGGAAATGTTTTATACTGAAATTTAAGTATACGAGTGCAAAAAAACTTATAATTCATTAACACAAACGAATAAATAGAAAAAATATTAATTTTATTTTACTTAAGCTTAACATATCCATTAAAAACGTCTCCCTTCCAGTATTCGACTCGAAATTTTCCAGCAGTCATCAAATGTATCTCTGTGCTACACGCAACTCTGGATGACTAAGTATCATCCTTCGTTTCATAGTTAATATTGTCATCATTGCTATAGAGATATGAAAGAACAAGTTCAATTTAACATTAATCCCATTTCTTCGATTTATATTTAGGTAGATCCGCACACCCAGGTACTTTTTGCTAAAAACACTTTGGTTTTTAAGCTTCTTATTCAGTAGAAAGACAAAACATGAAAAATCAATATTAAAAAAGATCCTCTTAATAATTCCTTTCCATTTTTTCAGGCTAACTACAGTGATTCAGAATAATCCTCGTACTTTTAACGCAAAACGAAAAGCTATCCCAATTTCTGCTAGCATTAGATTACCACACAGAAGATGCAAACAGATTACTTACTCGATTAACCTTCAACATCACAGCGATGATTAGCACTTCTAAGTTAAGAATACGTATTCTGAAAGGTAATCAATTAACACATCACTCGAAGCAGCCGATTCCAATACCCCGAACTTTATTATAAAGTAAGAAACTACATCACAAAACCATCGAAATTGTATCAAAGCGAAGGAACACGATGAAATATGTGACAGAGAACTACTGGAGCCGAAATCAAAGTGAATGAATTCGATGACACATGCAGCACAAAGCCAAAAAATCAGGAACCTGTATTAGGATGAACATTCTTAATGAAACACAATCTCTTCTCCAGTAACAAATGATACGTTAAAACCATCCCCTGCTTCCGGATTTCTACATTCAGACACAACATTTTCATACGCAGTGCGCTTCTCAAGTACACAAGGAAGAATGCCCATCGGTCATTCGGCATTTTCTCTTTTCCCAATCACTTTTTCAAGCTAGTTTCTCCGGTTTTTTAATAACAAATTTAGAATAGTCAGAGCCCCATATAAATCGTACTTCCTCAATTTACTCCTCGTTTTTCATATTAATTTACTTATTTTAATTTTTAGAAAGTTTCATAAAATTCGTACTACTTCTATTTACTCGTCGTCTTTCTTATTTATTTCTATTTTAATCTTTATTACTCAGCCTTTTTACTAAAGTTTTAATCAACACATTATCTGCACCAATCCGACTCAATTTCTCAAATTTTCACTACGTCTTCTTTTTGCATGTAAAAAGCTAATCATTTTTCCTATGTCATGTTTTTTTTCCTTGCATATATTTTCTCTGTTCCCTTTCAACATCCTTCTTTTTGAACTTGTCACCCTATCGTCAACATGCTCGACAGGAATTTCTTCTTTTATCTTGAATAATTTGTCTTCATAAATCCTCTCTTAATGTTTGAGACCCTCCTTCATTTCAGCAAGTCGGAGATGGAATAATTATTCCATAGGAATTATTTGACCTTCCTTTAAATCAGAATACTATACAAGAGTCGTCATCCGCCACGCAGATATTCTCTTTAACTTCGTCCACATCATTATTTATGCAACATATTTTGAAAGATCTGATGATCGATTCTGACCTGTTTTTCGAATGGATAAGGATGTGGCATTCAGCTTTAGATATGTCCAGTTAAACAGACGACATATTATTCGATTATTCCTAACAACAGTTTTTAGCTTCTTCAGCTACAACTGCAGCTAAGAAACATAAGAAGTCTGAAGAAGGCGATAATGTTGAATAACTGAAAGCACTTCTACTCAAAAGTAAAATCTACATCAGTTAACTCCCCGACTCGGATATATAACTGGATTTACAGAACAACAACAAAAAAAATTAATTTTGGCTTACATATTTTCAATTGCAACTCAGTTTTTGTGGTTAAATCTTGCCTTCAGTCTTGTATACAGATGAGCTGACATTCGGAAACATATCGTATTCTTTCGAAGAACAAAACTGCAAAAACATATTTTACAGCTGCGAAATTGTAGTCTATTCCATAAAGATTCCAGTTTTTACATCTGAAAGCAAAGTTTTTTATTATAAATACCATTTCGATTAAAATGGTCTATCACAAGCTAGATTTTATATTTTTATTAAAATTTAGTTATCAAAGTAAATTAAAGGTTGTGAGCGAGATCGTGTAGTAGTGCGCTACTTTCATTAAAAAAGAAAAGAACAACAAAATGGCTCTTTTATATATTATAATACCTTTCGATTAAATGGTCTATCACGCTCGATTTTATATTTTTATTAAATTTGTTTGATCAGTAAGTTAAAAGGTTTGAAAAGCGAGATGCGTGTAGTATGCAGTACTTTCATTAAAAAAAGAAGAAAGAACAACAAAAATGACTCATTTTTATATTTATAATACCATTTCGATTAAAATGGTCTATCACAAGCTCGATTTTATATTTTTATAAAATTTAGTTTCAAAGTAGTTAAAAGGTTGTGAAGCGAGATGCGTGTAGTAGTGCAGTACTTTCATTAAAAAGAAGAAATAACAACAAAATGACTCATTTTTATATATTATAATACCATTTCGATTAATGGTCTATCACACACTCGTTTTATTTATTAAAATTTAGTTATCAAAGTAAGTTAAAAGGTTGTGAAAGCGAGATGCGGTAGTAGTGCACTACTTTCATTAAAAAAAGAAGAAAGAACAACAAAAATGACTCATTTTTATATATTATAAATACCATTTCGATTAAAATGGTCTATCACAAGCTCGATTTTTATTTTATTAAATTTAGTTATCAAAGTAAGTTAAAAGGTTGTGAAGCGAGATGCGTGTAGTAGTGTGCGCTACTTTCATTAAAAAAAGAAGAAAGAACAACAAATGACTCATTTTTATATATTAAATACCATTTCGATTAAAATGGTCTATCACAAGCCTCGATTTTATATTTTTATTAAAATTTATTATCAAGTAAGTTAAAAGTTGTGAAAGCGAGATGCGTGTATAGTGCAGCTACTTTCATTAAAAAAGAAGAAAGAACAACAAAAATGACTCATTTTTTATATTTATAATAACCATTTCGATTAAAATGGTCTATCAACAAGCTCGATTTTATATTTTTATTAAAATTTAGTTATCAAAGTAAGTTAAAGGTTGTGAAAGCGAGATGCGTGTAGTAGCAGCTACTTTCATTAAAAAAAAAAAAGAACAACAAAATGACTCATTTTTATATATTATAATACCATTTCGATTAAATGGTCTATCACAATCGATTTTATATTTTATTAAAATTTAGTTATCAAGTAAGTTAAAAGGTTGTGAAAGCGAGATGCGTGTAGTAGTGCAGCTATTTCATCATTAAAAAAAGAAGAAAGAACAACAAAATGACTCATTTTTATATATTATAAATCCATTTCGATTAAAATGGTCTATCACCAAGCTAGATTTTATTTTTTATTAAAATTTAGTTATCAAGTAATTAAAGGTTGTGAAAGCGAGATGCGTGTAGTAGTGCAGCTACTTTCCATTAAAAAAAAAAAAAAAAAGAACAACAAAAAATGACTCATTTTTTATATATAATACCATTCGATTAAAAGGGTCTATCACCAGCTAGATTTTATATTTTTATTAAAATTTAGTTATCAAAGTAAAGTTAAAAGGTTGTGAAAGCGAGATGCGTGTAGTAGTGCAGCTACTTCATTAAAAAAGAAGAAAAGAACAACAAAATGACTCATTTTTATATATATAAATACCATTTCGATTTTAAAATGGTCTATCACAAGCTAGATTTTATATTTTTATTAAATTTAGTTATCAAAGTAAATTAAAAGGTTGTGAAAGCGAGATGCGTGTAGTAGTGCAGCTACTTTCATTAAAAAAAAAAAGAAGAAAGAACAACAAAATGACTCATTTTTATATATCATAAATACCATTTCGATTAAAATGGTCTATCACAAGCTAGATTTTATATTTTTATTAAAATTAGTTATCAAAGTAATTAAAAGGTTGTGAAAGCGAGATGCGTGTAGTAGTGCAGCTACTTTCATTAAAAAAAGAAGAAAGAACAACAAAAATGACTCATTTTTATATATTATAAATACCATTTCGATTAAAATGGTCTATCACAAGCTCGATTTTATATTTTTATTAAAATTTAGTTATCAAAGTAAGTTAAAAGGTTGTGAAAGCGAGATGCGTGTAGTAGTGCAGCTACTTTCATTAAAAAAAGAAGAAAGAACAACAAAAATGACTCATTTTTATATATTATAAATACCATTTCGATTAAAATGGTCTATCACAAGCTCGATTTTATATTTTTATTAAAATTTAGTTATCAAAGTAAGTTAAAAGGTTGTGAAAGCGAGATGCGTGTAGTAGTGCAGCTACTTTCATTAAAAAAAGAAGAAAGAACAACAAAAATGACTCATTTTTATATATTATAAATACCATTTCGATTAAAATGGTCTATCACAAGCTCGATTTTATATTTTTATATTAAATTTAGTTATCAAAGTAAGTTAAAAGGTTGTGAAAGCGAGATGCGTGTAGTAGTGCAGCTACTTTTAAAAAAAAAAAAAAGAAGAAAGAACAACAAAAATGACTCATTTTTATATATCATAAATACCATTTCGATTTAAATGGTCTTCACAAGCTGATTTTATATTTTATTAAAATTTAGTTATCAAAGTAAGTTAAACGGTGTGAAAGCGAGAGCGTGTAGTAGTGCAGTACTTCATTAAAAAAAAAAAAAAAAAAAAAACAAAACAACAAAAATGACTCATTTTTATACTAAGGAATATTCTCTTTAATAGTTATTTACAAGAATGGCA